AATGAAAGTACATGAAGAAGAGATTCGTTTTTCGATCTCACCAGATGAGGACGGATGAAAATCGTTGTACAAGCCGTTTAGCTTTTATATTATATTCATGTTGACGCAGTCCACGAGTATTCCTCCCTCGTTTCGGGTGAAGTATATTCATGTCCTCATCTGGTGAGATCGAAAAACGAATCTATTCATCATGTACTTTCATTCGAAATGAAGGTCCCCCTAACAATGTTATCTCAGGAGATTCATCGAAACCAAGTTTCTCTTCGCTTATTGTAATATAAGGAGTGATAGTAGCTATTTTCCTCCGAAGCTATGAATATGCCTCAATATTTATGAGGCAAAGCAAGAATAAATCAATTGGAATCATGTGGCATATTCATCTAATTGTGTGAAGGACTGCACTATCAATCCACAGAATCACCTTATGCGACCTAGGATGACTAATTTCTGTTGGAAGATTATAATATTTATGATAAGTTTTGGGGGAAGTGTTAGAAAGTGATACTTATAAACATTTCGAACATAACATGCAAAAAGTATTACTGCTTTCACAAGGTATCGGGTTTAAGTTGCGAGAGAAATCTAAGGAATTCTCAGATATCGCAGAATGACTTTCCTCGGACCGACATCAACTCGGCACAGAAAACTTTTGGATATAACGATAAGCTGGATTTTGAATAATCCTTTAATAACTTGCTGTCGGGGACCTTTCATTTCATTTGGGGAGGTTGGTGGAAGGGATTCATAACTTTGCGTTACATTAAAATGTAGGATAATTGCTTTGGACTAGTGAAAGCTGGACTATGCGAAGGGAACCTCGGCTCATAGACCTTCGCTCCAGATGAATTTCTGCCAAGCTTTCGGCTGTCCCTCCGTGACGGACATCGTCAGAGCTAGAAACTATCAACTACTACTACTACTTAACCAAAACACCAGACCAAGGAAGGTAGCTGGTTGAAAGCTTACTTACTTAAACATACGTTTGCGAGCTTGCTGGCAGCGTGGCGAGTTCCGGCCACAATTCAGACTTTATTTAATATTTATTTGAGGTTCTTAGAATTGAGTGTACGAAAAGCCTTAATCTAGGTTGAAGACATTATA